ACTTACTTACTACTATATATATATATATATATATATATATATATATATATTATGCGTATACGTGTTTCGCAAGTAGAGTATCAGTGCAAGGAGCCTCAATAAATAAACGTAACGATTACATCCGGTACACTTCTTCCTTCTCTGCGATTATCTGCCGACGACTTATCTGACTTTCGAAATGAATACGATTCACGCGTTGCGGCATTTTACATCTCTGATTCTTCGATCGCGCATAATGAAGATACACTTTTTGCATTTGCAAATCAGTCGGGTCATTCGGACAGCGGCGGTCTATAAAGATCGAGATCGATCTCACATTCATTATCGTCGTATGGAGCAGGCGTGATGGAATATGCAAGATATCCGTCTATAATACTTGTGCATCGATGTCTATAATACCCGCGCCACGTCACGGTTCTTTCCTCTGTTTCATTTATTTCTTCACCGTTCATTTTGATTTTCCTCAACCTCGCGCGTCGATCTTCCTCCCTTCGGCCCGAGGAGAGGGGCGGAGGGGGGTGGGGTGACCTCTCCTTTTTTTTCGCGCACGCGTGCACGCACAGATGAATTAATTAATTAAGAACATAACTGAAGCGCAATTCGCTTCTTGGATCTAGAATATGACGTAAGATTATCGAAGCGATGTGTGTCGCGGTAACCTTGAATTTTCATCGCGTGCCAAGATTACGTTCTCTTGCGAGCCGATCAATTATACACCTGCCACTTACTTCGATCCCTGATCCGACGTGTGTATTATAGTTCTTATGCGATTGCGACGAGCTTTGTTAATTTTCACGTTGACATTATCCCCCGCGTGAATCTCGAATACTTTCCAGCTGCCTTTGTTAAATACGCTCGTAATACGATCGAACTTTAAATCCGCAGTTATTTGTCTTACGTGTCTCTCACTCGTGTCTCTGTCGGGTTAGTCGCGAAGTTGCCAAGTTGCACGAGAGAGTTTTCGGGCGCATGACAGGCACAAAACAATTACGCGTCGTTTTCTCGTCGCTTCCAGGCGTAGTATGCACGCGGCGATCGAAAGAGAACCACTTTGCTGAAGTTAGAATTGAGGTTGCACACGGGATAAACGTAACTTTCTCTAATATACATTCCTAGAGATATATCGTTGCCTTTTCCCCGTTATGTTATACGTGTAATTTGTGCGGTGCGCAATTTTCGAAAGGAGGAAATTTACTGCAATTTCGTAACGCATATATATATATATATATAT